ACAACCAGTATGTACAGCAATTGTAAATATACGACTTGATACACATAAGACGCCCAACCAGTATGTACAGCAATTGTAAATATACGACATGATACACATCAGACGCACAACCAGTTTGTACAGCAATTGTAAATATACGACATGATACACATCAGACGCACAACCAGTATGTACAGCAATTGTAAATTTACGACATGATACACATCAGACGCACAACCAGTATGTACAACAATTGTAAATATACGACATGATACACATAAGACGCACAACCAGTATGTACAGCAATCGTAAATATACATTATCACACCAATGCCATACCTCCTACATTGCCGGCACGGTTCCGCTCAAAATGGCGGTTCGTGATGTCTGCATTTGTCGCAAAAATCGCTCCGCCGTTGTCGTTAGCAATATTCCCAACAAACGTACTATTGATCAAGGTCACAATCTCATCACCACTGTGGACACAGCCTCCGGCATCGAGATGATTGTAGCTGCAGTTGACATTGATCAGCTCCACAGCTATGCAACAGCAGGCAAACAGTATGGCTGTGTTATTTTATCTAACAAGATAGTTGTGATATTTTATTTCAACAACACAGTTGTGTTATTTTAGATAAACAATGTAGTTGTGTTATTGTACTTAAACAATATAGTTGTGCTGTTTTATTCAAACAATATATTTGTGTTATTTTATTTGTTGAACGCTCCATCGCTGATCGTATGCTGCCTAGACTCATATCGATCATCGTACCATATCAATGTCATTTCACTCTAAAACATCGAATCTACAAGACAAAGCCAAACACATCAAGAAACATAACTTGCCTGAGTAGGGTTTTATAGCACCCCCGTCGCCCCAGTAATATTTGTCAATGAAAACTTGGGGCATGAAACCATGAGAAAATCCGGAGTCGACGATGCGTCCGGACTCCGCACGTATACCACAGCCGAACTAATACGCAAGAGAACGAAGGAATGAAATACACAAGAGAACGCAGGAATGAGACAATAGGGAAGAAATACGGGTCGGTTTGACATTGTAAATTACCGTGATAAATAAAAGACAAAATCCGCTGGGGAAGGAAGAGCTGATACAAAAGAAAGTGTAGCGTCAAAAGCCAGACGGTTTAAAGTACACGATAAACGGGAACTAGGGGCAGATAGGGGACGAGAACGATTGGTGGCCGGGATGTGCATATGTCACACACAAAAAATGGCTGAGAAACCGCCATTGTTCGAGACAAGTGAAGTAGGCCAAAACATAAAATACAGCAGAGTGGAAGCGGTGACCGGAGTGAGTAGGCTACCGACACTAAGTGTGATGGTAGAGATAGTAACAATCAAAAAAGGTTAAGAGTTTGGGTGAGACAGTTAAAACAAAGAGATAGTATAGAAAGAAGTAGACACTGATAGGTCAGTATTCTAGAGACAAAAAATGGAGGAGAAAAAAAAGGAATTAGGTAGTGACCGGGGTGTGAAAAAATTACAGTTATAATATGTAAAAATTGAAATAAAAATGGTTTACTAGGCAGAGAGGATATACGTTAGGACCAAGGAACAGCAGCGGAGGAGTCTATGAGGGAATATATGGTACCAGGGCTGCGAGAATATCCGAGGTACAATCGCGAAGCAATCAAATACAATTTTAAACGACCTACGATAGTAGTATATCCTCCTGCACCACAAGTCCATACCAGAGCACTAGTGGCCGGACAAGCCCACTTGAACAAACTACGCTAGCTGCGTTCTGAATAGCGCTGGTGTGATGAGGTTCAATTGGTCATGATGCACTCCACGACTCACGAAGGGAGGTGCACAAGACACAACTCACCTGGCATTCATTATGCTGGAAGGTACAGTTTATCACGTTCATGTGGTATAGCACCTTCGAAACGGTGGCCGTAGAGGCTCCCGCCCCGAGTTGTGCGTGATTGTAGTAGAACTCGCTATCGCTCAAGTCCACAGGGCCTGCGACAAACAGTGACAGGGGTTAGCTCACGCAAATCTGCATCGAGTCATGGGTTAGCTCACGCAAATCTGCATCGGGTCATGGGCTTCAAAGACCCCGCAGCAACATTCGAGTCATACGAGTGATCTCCTGTAGCCCATTCAACAGCCT